GATATAAACATTTATGTTATATTAGTTTCCTGTGGTTGTAGCTAATTACCACAAACTAGGTAGCTTAAAACGGCAGCAAGCGAACTCTTACAGTTCTGGAGGCTTTGAAAGTCCAAAACCTGGCAAGGCCTCACTCCCTCTGCGGGGATTTTAGGGGAGAATCCACTCTTTGCTGCCTCCTCCAGCTTCTGGTGGTTGTCGGCATTCTTTGACTTGTAGTCACATCACTTCGTCCTACACCTCGCGGTCATGTTGCCTGCTCTGCTTCTGTCTGTCAAATCTCTCTATGTGTCTAAGAACACTCGTCACCGGACTTCAGGTCCACCTAGATAATTCAGGATTACCTCTTCTTCTCAAGATCATGAACTTAATTGCATCTGCAAAAACACTTTTTCCAAATAAGGTACATTCCCAAGTCCCAGAAATTAGGACATGAACATACCATTTTGGGACCCACATATCAGGCCAACGCATCAATAAAAAAATAAGAATACCTATACTCATCCCCAACAAGCTACTGATAACTGTGGCATCACCAAAATGCAGGAGAAAGCTACAGGAAAAGAAGACATTTAGTCCAAAAAACAGAGGCTACTGCAAAGGCAAGAGGCAGCACGATATTCCCAGTACAGGGATAAAGCAATGTCACAAAATGACAGTGCACAGTAGGTAAAGAACAACCAGTCTAGATTGCAGCAGGAGACCACACAAGAAAGATACGACTGAGATGGGTTTAACAGTCCTTTTGAAGAGTGTGGAAAGACTTTGGTGCATAAAAAACTAAGAAGAAAAGAGGCAAATGTTAACTCCATTTTTGTTTAATTGTAAGAAAATAAGTTGAGGAAGGTAAATATTATTACTGTATACTACTTTGCTCAGTAGTGAACAATATTTACATTGAAGATTAACTTAGCCAAAAATTGTAATGTACTATGTTGGAAGGACAGAATATGGGGATGTGTGAAAGTGAAGGGAAGTTAAGGTACTAATTCTTTATCTTTTGTAAAAGAAAATATCTAATGTTGATAAAGAAATAGTATATATATTATTTAAGATATGCAGGAAGAAAGACCCCATATCTGGAAGAAAAGCTTAAGAGTTGAAAATGGTTACCTCGGGGGTAAGGAGGCAAAACAAGGTGTAGAGAGGTATGGGAAAGACCAGTGGTTACTTTACGTAATCATAAGTTTACTCCTCATATTGTGCTCCTATTGTTTTGATAAAACTTTAAAATTCTAATTCAGAAAAAAAGAAGATTTTGAGAAAAATGAATTGTTCAGGCCCTATGACAGTTAAGAAACATTTGTCACAATGTCTCAGTTTCCTATACTTTGAATATGGAATTTCTAAGAAAATTCTTGAAAAGGCATTCTTTAAAATAAATCCCCAAGTCATGTGTTTAGTAAGCGTAAAAAAACAAAATGAAACAAAACAAAAAAAAAACCAAAATTCCACCAAAACCACTCCTACAATATGCCAACTACAATGGATTCAACCTCTATAATCTATGTTATATTATTACAATTCTGTCCAGATTTACTTTAATACAAAACTCTTGACTCTTGTTTTTGTACATAAGACTTTAATATCCCAACTACGAATAACACGTATAACTAGGGAAAGGAATTGAAGCCATTACAATGAAGACGTTTCCAAACTGGTATCCTAATAGATAGCTGCCAATGAATACCGTGTATATGTGGGTGGCCTCTAATTTTAGAGATTTCACAATATTAGGAGCACTGGATAAAAAAAACCTGTGCTCTGAAAATCACTACAGCCCAGGAAAGGGACAACAAGCAACTTCCATAAGAGTTCTTTTGTCACACTGTGTGAGGAGAGAAGGAGCATCTATAAGGAAATGGCACAACAGCTACAGCACTAGATCAAGGTAAAACATGAGACAAAAAGGCAAATGTTATTCTCTACTTACTAAATATCTCCCTTTATCCAGTTCATTAATCTATGATTCATTCATTCCTAAGTAGCACTTTGGCACACCAAATCTATGCCCATCTCTGTCTTCCCTCCTTCCCTTCAACTGCCTTAAAAGTTGAAATATTTCAAGTAACATACATAGATATATTGATCTAT